GGTGTCCTCTCCATGATTCTACCTCCAACACGAACCAACTTAGATAGAATAAGTATAGAGTTCTAAAAATATGTTTGGGAGCCATGGTATTTTCACCAAAATATGCCATTCTGGCAGAGCCTCAAGAACTTTCCCTTAGTGTTTGAAGACAGTTTTTAACCATTAAAAGTCTATTAAAATATAAATGTTACAATAGTAATTTGATTAAAAAAATGAAGTCGGGTAATTGAAAATTTAACAAATCATTATTGAAAAAAGAAAAATTCTCCTGCTTTAACAGGGCATTTATTGATACGAACTTAATTCAAATGGATATATGATTATTTAAACCAAGCCATAATAAAATTCATTTTGAATTGCCTTTGGTCAAAGTTAACTAAAATATATACATATTTGTCAAAAACAGATCAAAATACAGGTTTGGAATTTTTTGTCTTAAGCATTAATGGCAGCCGCAATAATCATGGAGGGTAGCGGTTGATACTCCTTTGCGATCCCGGCAGACGATAGATCTAATTCGGAAATAGCAAACCTGCCCTCGCCAGCTCACAGTTTTGCCCCTAAATACCTTTCTCCCCAAGGAACCATGTCACGACCCATAAAATTCTGATCCACATCTTCTTTCCCTCCCCATCCTACCCAACAAAAATATGGAGAAAATCAAATGCCAGAAATCCGTAAGTTAAGGTGTAAGCTATCGTGCTAAAAACTGAATACAGTGGAACTTGGTTATACCGTCATTGAAGGGTCCAATCAAAAAATGACGCTATATCAGAGTGACTTTAAAAAAGAGGTTGAGAAAAATAAAATTTTAATGAGGGAAAATATTATTACAGCATTATTGGGTATAGTAGATATATTATTTGTTAATTACTCTGGTCCTAAACATGATAATTTAACATAGTTTACGATATACCGAAAATACAACATTTACTTAAGTCAAATTTAAAAAAAAAACCAGAATCATTTTAGGATAACAAACAATTAAAAAATAAAACATATTATGTATGTATATGAAACTTACATTGTGTAAAAAAGTTCTATTGCTGAAAAAAGTCCGTTATTTTCTTTTGCACAACCCTTTCCGAAAAATAAAGTTTTTCTGTTGTTTCCTTAATAAGCTGAGCTGCTTCTTTGGTATTTGTGGATGCCTCCCTGAACTGGTAAAACCTGGATATGGTCTCAGCAGCTCTCATTGCTTCTTGGATTGTAGGACAAGCAACGATGTCTTCTTCTTCTTCTGCTTCATCGACATCCATTTCCACGTTTTGCACCAGTTCAACAATTTCTTTATCACTTAGGACTTGAAATGTTTCCACCTCATCGTCTACTGAAAATGTAGGAGTCCAGATCAGTTCTGAACGCTCCCTAAATCACATTAAATTTTTGTATCCACTCTGACAAAGGCATTTCGTCATCTTTATCAACGTCCTCAATATTGAGAGAAGCTACAGTCAATTTTGCTTGACGAAAACACTTATGAATTGTCACTGACGAAACCGCACTCCACGCATTGTCTAAAAACTGAACAGCATCCAGGATGGTAATGTTCACAGGTTCTCCATTATCCATACAAAAAATCATTCTTTTTAAAAGCTGTTTTCGATAATGGCACTTTAAACTTCTTATGACTCCCTGGTCCATAGGCTGCAAGACACTCGTGCAGTTGGCTGGTAAGAACACTAGATTTATATTGGTCAAATTAAGTTTGGGATGGGCTGCACAGTTGTCAACTAGGAGAAGAATTTTTCTTTTTTTTAAAGAGAGTTCCTTGTCCCACTTTCTCAATTCTTCTTCCAAAACAGCAGAAGTCATCCATGCTTTTTTATTGGCTGTGTAGTTTACAGGTAGTGTTTTAATGTTTTTGAAACATCTAGGATGTAAACTTTTCCCAATAACCAAAAGCTTTCTTTTCTCTGTACCTGTCATATTTGCACAAACAAAAGCCGTCACTCTTTGCTTGGAAAGTTTTCCACCGACACATTTTTGATTTTTGAAATTTAAAGTTTTGTCTGGCGTTAATTTATAAAAGACACCTGTCTCGTCACCATTAAAGATATCTTCATCTTTGTATGGTTGCCTTTGTTGTGGCCATGTGTTTTGTAACCAGTCACTTGTTACGTTCTCGTCCACACATTTTGCATCTCCAACAATTTTCGAGAAGAAAATTGAGTGCCTGGCTTTAAACCGATCTAACCAGCCGTTAGAGCATGTGAAATCTTCACCAAACAATTTTCCGAACTCTGTAGCTTTCTCCTTTAAAAGTGGCCCGGACACAGGGATACCAGAACTGCGACACTGCTTGAACCATTTGAGTAGAGCTGAATCTACATCACCACGAATGCACTTCCTAATCTTTTTAACATTGTTTCCGTCCTCTTTAAAGGCTTTTAAAATTGTGTCATTGTTTTTTATGATTGTGCGTACAGTCGAATTAACAAGTCCAAATTGCCGGCATACATCAGCAATTTTTCGACCACTTTCAAATCCTCTTATAACACGCACTTTTTCTTTAATAGGCAAAACCTTCCTTTTAGTGCTACAACTTGCCATATTAAAAAATAAAAGCTAATTACCAAATTAAAATAAAAAAAAAACAAAACCATCCGAACACAATTTCACGGTAGCGAAAATTTCTTAAACCGACTGTTCCGAAACAGAAAATTTGACTGTTAGGAGTGTTAGGACGGCACTGATAAATGCGAAATTATAGATTGTCAGGGTAACATAACTGTACACAGAAGGGATAATGGACCTTTCTTACATTCTTGGAAGGAACAAATGCCGCAAAGCCAGAAACGCATTGCCCTTTATTCTTCATAAAATAAAAAAAGGATAACCTACTATAAAATTTTATGACGCTATAACCGAGAACCTCTTTATACTGTGACCGAGGGTTAGTTTATTTTTAGCCGATAAAACCGGGTTTTTAATAACGTTATGGAATAGTTTTTGACCGGACCTATTAAAAAAGGAGCGATTAATTACAGGGACCCGATCCGTCAACTGCGCATGTGCAATTTTTGAAATGGCATCAAAAGTGACATCTCCAAACTAAAAAAATCTGAGCAAATTTATAAAAACTATTTAGGCATACAAATCGGAAATTTTAAAATATTTATTACTATAGGTACATAGTTGTTACATTCATAACTAAAATATAGAGAATAAATAACTTGAACTCTCAGTAATAAGAAAGAAAATCATATTAATCTAATGTATATTGACGACTTTGATATTAACGGTCCAACATTGTTATTTTGTTGTAGTAGCATATGGAGATTGTTAACGTACCAGATAATTTAAATATTTAACGTAATACACGTTTATGAGTGAAAATAGGGATTATAATAAATTATTATATAAGTATTATTATAAACTTAAATTGATTTATTGTTATTGAAAGTAAAGAAATTATTAATGAACTAAATTTAAATAACATTCTGGTATAAAATAGCTTAATTCTTCAATACTCTTCCATAAAAAACTGGATATTACATCGGCCTAGAAAGTTTACCATGTATATTTTTTATATGTTTATTTAAGTTAAAAACTGATTTGAGAAAATTTTACCACATTCAAAACAGTTCACTGACATATTTACAACTTACGTAAACACGAAACTATTTAAAACAATTTTTATTCGACAGGGCAAGATACCGCTATTACCGCTTAACATTTTCATTTGAAGGTTCGAAATATTTCGAACGCAGTCGTCGCGCACATGCGCAGTTGACGGATCGGGTCCCTGTAATTAATCGCTCCTTATTAAAAATTGACGTTATAACCGAGATGACGTAACTACTGAGGCCGTAATAAGCGAGTTCCACTGTAGTCGCACGTCACGCGGTCGCTAATGATACTCTTGAGACACTGGGCGAAGTCTCATTGAATATTAGCCTTGTTCCTGTATGCGGGGCTCTATAGGAATCGTCCAACGATTCTCAGCTACTCGTGGGAATAAATACGTATACTCACCAACATGCAAGGAAAGTAATTGTAAACCAACCCTACTCAAAGTGCATCAAAAAGATAAACTTCAAGATTGTCACATATAATGCTCGGTTATTCTCTATCGAGGAAAGGTCAGAAGAAATGGAGGAAGAACTCTCAAAAGTGAATTGGGATATTGTGGGTATCGGTGAAGTAAGAAAAAAGAAAGAGAGCCTTATCACACTCCCATCAGGTCACTTATGGTACTACAAAGGAGAAGAAGATTCGACAATCGGAGGCGTCGGTTTCTTTATTTACAAAAAAATTGTGACCATAAACCAAATCTCAACAAGGATGGTCTACTTAGCCAAGATATTTCCTACAGATCGCTAAAGTCGACGTCCTTACTACAGGACACCCAGAAGTCTACGATCAAATATCCTGTACAATTAAGGAAAATCCTGCTCACTTCTTAATTATTGGTGTCGATTTCAACGACACAATACACACTAAGGAATACTCCTCTGAAATAATATGGAGAAATTTTGGAACCAAAGGTAGAAATGATAGAGTCAAACCACTGTTAACTTTTCTTTTGGAAAACAATCTCTATTAAAAGAACAGCTTTTTAAAAAAGCAATGGATCCTCGGTGAATTCAAAAATAATCTTTTTTAGTTGTGTTTTTGAGGTTTGAAAATGGTAATTTTGTATTTTTTTGGTTTTAAATTATTTATAACGCGAAAACAATAAAGTTTACAAAAAAATTACTTAAGACCTATTTTGTTCAGAGTGACCCAAAAAATTCATTCTTACAATTTGTTAAAACAATTGTAAACAAAAATTGAACAACTTTTCGCCAGGGCAATGTTTTGAACCTTATTTTGGGGTATCTCATAAAAGTGAATATGCAAAAAAATCTCATGGGAATATTTTTCCGAACAAACCCGAGCTTTTCGCCTTGTCTAACAGGCAAATATGTCTAAAAATTATCGTAAACTTTTATTAGTTTCTTTATAAGACTAATAAGAACAAAATTGCTTATAATTTAAAGATAAAAAATGTTTACCTTTTATATCTAATCTCGCTTGGTAACTTTTTATTTAAACAGGGTATTCTTCGTGGCTGGTTAATTTTTTCCAACCGGGTCTTGGTTTTATTGTATGTCGTCACCAAGTTCTTTAGACCATGATTTATTAACCTAAAATGATCAGAACTTTTGTCTGTATTTAAATATTTTAAAATATATTTGAATATCTTACTCCTTATCCTTCTGCAAATGTTCGTCCTTTAAATACAGAGACTTAATAGATAATTTATTTTTTCTGTTTGGAGATTTACGGGACATGCTAGAATAGAAATATGGATGAATTAGAAAAATGTCAAATACTACAATGTAACTATTAGCATTGTATATTTAAGATCATACAATATAATGTAAAATATATTGAGCTAATAATTATAATAAGAAGATGAAACAGATTAAAGTATATGCCGATACCTTAGTTTCATAGGGAAACAACTCTAAAATTTCGCGTTTGGAATTATTTATAAGGAAGTGTTCAATAAGTCTTGTTTTATCTATAAAATATAGTCAAAAATATTTTATTTTTATTAAAATAATTAATTGGATATTTTCTTATGATAAAATCTCCATTTCGTTACCTACTTTACTAGATTCATACAGAAACTGTTCCAATACGATAGAGTTATAAAAAAAGACTATAATTTCTGGTTGTTTTTGTATTTGTAATGTTATAAACATTACACATCCCCGCATAGTGGCCCGCATACCACACGTCCCGTGTGGGATGCGGGCCACTAATAAGAATACACCCACAGGATCTCCTACTGGTCGTAAGAGGCGACTGCAGGAGCAGCTGACCGCTGTCCCTACCCAACATTCCATCTCGTCCTTTACCTATATATTTACCTAGAAACTATCTTACCCACACCCCGAGTGTCGGATGAGTCCTCTTGACCGTGTTTGAGTGGAAGAGGCCCATTTTACGCGGAGGGTGTGTGTGTCATATACATGCCGCGCACGTATATGACGTATATCTCGAAGTCCCACACCGACAAACCGGTCTGCCTCAAGGATTCTGGGGGAGGCGAACATTCGACTAAACTAAACATAGGAACATATAACATCAGATCCATGAATGATGATACTAAACTTCACGAATTAGAAGAAGAACTAAATAATATGCAATGGGATGTCATTGGTCTCTCAGAGATAAGAAGAAAAGGTGAACAAAAAATACTATTAAACTCAGGAAACATGCTGTACTACAGAGGCAATGAAGATAACACTAACAACGGAGTTGGTTTTATAATAAACAAGAAAGTCGTCAGATACATACAATCCACCAAGGGTATATTAGTCAGAGTAGCCTACATTATGCTTAAATTAAAAAGAACGTCTTTGAAAATTATACAGGTATACGCGCCAACAAGTTCATATACAGATGAAGACATTGAAAACTTCTACGAAGAACTAACACTCGCTATGGAAGAAAAGAAAACTAAATTGACGCTAATAATTGAAAAACACAATGCCAAATTAGGGGGAACAATAGATGGAGAAGAACACAGAATTGGAGAGTATGGATATGGCGAAAAAAATAATAGAGGACACACATTAATGAACCACTTGGAGGAGAGACAACTTTTTGCTATGAACTCGTTTTTTAACAAAAAACCATAAAAAATGGACATGGATATGTCCCAACGGTAATACAAAAAACGAAATAGATTACATCCTTACAACACAAAAAACCATCATCAAAGATGTTACAGTACTGAACCGCTTCTCAACCGGTAGCGATCATAGACTTGTCAGAGCCAAACTCAGGATTAATAGCCAATTCGAAACAAAAAAGAAAATGGAAAATGTATCGAAACTAGATATGGAAAAACTTAAGCAATCAAAAGACGAATATAAACAAAAAATAAGGGAAAGTATACCGGTCACTAGAGATTTGGAAAACAAAAATATCGATGAAATAAATCAGCTATTAACCGATACATTAGCAAAGGCGGGAAAAGAGGTAGCACAAACAAGAATAAAAAAGGAAAACTATATATCCCAGGAAACAAAAAATCTCATGAGTAAAAGAAAAACATTACTGGAACAAGATAAGAGAAACACAGTAGATTAAAAAGAGGTAAACAAAGCTATCAGAAGGAATATCAAGGAATATAAAAGGAGCGTACAGGAAGAAAGAATAGAAAAAGCAATTGAACAAAATAAAAACATGAAGTGCTTAAAACCACAGCTTGGAACTATACAAATTAATGGTATAAAGAGCAAATAAGGTACAGAGACCAATAATATAGAAGAAATCATACAGATAACACAAGAATATTATAAAATCCTCTACAATACAAAACAGAAACCAACCCAAGAAATCCTTAAGCAACTACAAATAAAAATAAAAAATGTTAATTCCGACTTACAACCAGAAATCAGTAAAAACGAGATAAGAAGAGCACTCAAAGAGATGAAGAATAATAAATCGCCAGGAAAAGACGGGGTGATTGTAGAAATGCTAAAACATGGCGGGAAAACAACTAGAGAAGTTTTGTACTTACTTATGAATAAAATACTAATGACAAAACAAATACCCAACGGTTGGAACGAAGCAATAACACTGTTACTATTTAAGAAAGGAGATAAAAAGGATCTATAAAATTACACACTCATACTTTTACTAAATGTGATGTACAAACTATTAACCACATTAGATGGATACCAGGCAAGAGAACAAGCCGGATTTAGAAAGAGCTTCAGTACAAGTGACCACCTTTTAACGATGAAGATTTTAATCGAAAAAACTAACGAATATCATATCCTGCTATATATGGCATTTATTGACTTCGAGAAGGCATTTGATGGTGTGGAACACTGGGCAGTACAGAATTCCCTACAAAACAGCAGAATAGACTACCGATATACCGACTTAATTACAAATATATACAACAAGGCAACAACAACTATTAAGCTAATGAAACAAACGGAACCTATTAAAATAAACCGAGGAGTAAGACAAGGAGATACCATCTCGCCTAAGCTATTCAACCAAGCGCTAGAAGATGTTTTCAAACGACTACACTCTGTCCTCACATATGGCTCTCAGACATGGACGTTTACAAAGGAAACTATGGAAAAAATAGCAAAGACAGAAAGATCCATGGAAAGACAAATGCTGAACATTAAACTATCAGACAGAAAAAGAAACGAATGGATCAGTAATAAAACAAAAGTGACAGATGTCTCAACCCAAGTAGCAAAGCTTAAATGGAAGTTCGCCGGACACACCCTAAGGCAGAAAGATGAAAGATGGACTAAGACAATTATACATTGGAGACCATGGAATCACAAACGAAAAAGGGGAAGGCCGTAAATGCGATGGTCAGATGACCTGAAGAAACACGCCGGGTCAAAATGGATCCAAATTGCCCAATTAAAGAGGCATGGAAGAAGGAGGAGGAGTCCTATATCCAAGGATGGATGTTTAAGAGTGTATAGATAGATAGAATGTTATAAACGTCGAAAACTTATACGGCATCGAAAAAATAGTTATTGGAGTGTATGCGCCAACAGACGATTCAAAGCAACAAGTCAAAAATTCCTATAAGAGTTATCAAACATTTGTGATAAAATAAAAAGTCATCAATAAATACTACTGTTGGGAGACCTAAATGCCAGAGTAGGTTCTCAAATAGACGGCCACGTGGTAGGACGGCACGGAGAAATAGTTAACAATAGTTCAGGGGACAGTTTAAATGAGTTGTGTCAACTTTTTGGTTTAAAATTGGTTAGAGATCATACAACAAATTGTCAATTTCCCACATTTTTTTTCTCTTGCTATTACGTGGTTTACGTAGTTTTTCCATTCATCTGGCGTAATGACCTGGTACGCTGCTGTAATTAAACTTCGTATTTCAGCTTCTTTAAAATTCGCGTTGCTTCCAGCTATATATCGTTTCACTTCACTCCAAACCATTTCGATGGGATTGAGTTCACAGTGATAGGGTGAGAGCCTCAGAATCTTCACATTGTGCTTTTTGGCAATATCTTCTATTATGTACCTGTCATATTTTGCTTTCAAGGAGCCTTGACTACATCAAATAACTCGCATTTTAGGTAATCTTCTTCAAAAAATAGGTCCTTTGACAGAAGCCATTCTTGAATATCTTTTTTTAGTGTTGAACTGTTGGGAATTTGTTCTGAATTTCTGCTGTGATAGGAGGCATTGTCCATTACCACAACAGTTTTTTCTGGCAAATTCAGCATCAAGTTATTTTCGAACCAATTTTCGAAGGTCGCTCCATCCATTTCGTCATGGTAGCCCTGAGTATTTTTCTTTGCCAAAAACGTGAGCTCTGCTCCATCAACAAATCCACTGGCAGATTCTGTATGCAATAATACGAACCCGTGCACCACGAGCTGTTGGAGCTTTTAATCGTGTTGTCAGACCACGAAAAAAGCATCGCGATGAGATATAATTGTTTTATCAACCTATTTTTTTTTCACACTGTGCCCGATATTTACCCATGATTCATCCAAATACACTATTATGTATAAACACACGTTTTATAAACACAAAATCCATATCACTCAGCAAAGCGATGTAGCGTGGTCTGTAAAAAGTTGGGCAAAGTTTCTTCGACATTTACAACAGCTAATATGGTGTTTATTGTTGGTGGTATGTTGTCACGAACAAATTGATGAACTATTCCACGAATTTGGCCCATGACACCTTCATCGTACTTATTGTCACGAGAATTACCAACTTTTCGCTTCTTGGGCCTGCTCTTTGGAGATTTTAATCCAGACGTTAATGAATATACCTGTCGTATAAGAAACAGAGTCTTTTCGCAAAGACCACTCATTTCTGACACTTTCCTAATTAGACTTGATAGAGAATGGTTGTTATCCTGATTAAGATGATGATTAATAATATTAATTAGTACCTGCTTCTCTGAAAGTTTCAGATCTTTTTCACGTTTCCATTAAACAATTTCCTCCATTTTGTGGTACAAATTCTGCGTCAAATATAACAATAGACAACAAAAGAAAATAACAATAATTGCCAACAACAAATCACAACAACAGCCACCAACAAATAATAACAATAACAAAACAATAACAACAGTAACAGTACTTCCAAGATGGTACAAATAATCGTAACTCGAATATGTTTACGCCCTCCGAAAAACAAATAAAGACTAATTAAGGCCTTGGATGTATCAAGCTTTTAAACATATTCTGTACAAGAATTACCCTAATTGCATCTTAATTACTGAATAACTTGAAAGTATTTGCAGTTGATATCAACCAAAATTACAAATTCCTTACACATTATGGCAGTAATTAGCACCGCAGGGACATAAATAACATTTTAAATTTGGCAGTTAGCAGAAATTACCGGAATTATTTTAAACTTTGAAATAAATGTTTTTTTAATGCACATTTTATTATACTACTGCTACTAATCAAAGATAAAAGTTGATAAGTTACTATTAGAAACAAATAATGTATAGTATTACGTAAAATTACATAAAATTGTACATGAAGACTTGTTGAGAACTCCTGGTTTATTCCGTTTATTTTGAAAGATAGACAATAGAGAACGCCATCGCTCACTGCATAAAACTGGCAACGTCTTGGAAAAATTCCCATAAGATTAGCATTGCATATCTTACCCTATACGGACTAGTCACTTTGAGACAGAGTATAGCAGTAGAAAAAAACAATTTCTGGGAACAAAAATGTGTCCAAGTTGAAAATTCAATTGGTGGTTCTCAGACTACGAAAGCATAGAAAACTATCACTAATCTAAAGAAAAACACCCATAACTCCTTAAGCAACTTAATTCTTATAGAAAAGTGGGAAAATAACTACAAAAATTTACTCCAAGGACGATCTCTAGGACCTGGAAATATAGCTGTAGAGTTACTTAAAGCAGGAGGTCCACTACTAATAGAACGAATAACTTTTCTAATGAATCAATGCTGCCAACAAATTAAAATACTATCTAAATTGAAAATTGCTCATCAAGTGGCCATCTTCAAAAAGGGTAATCGAAAAGATCCTAATTGCTATAGAGGATTAACTGTCTTCCCTACTTTCGGGAGATTGTTTGAAAAGATAATAAATGGAAAAATACAAGATGATGTAGGACATCTAATTAGCGAAGACCAAAGTGGATTTACGCCTGGTAGATCTTGAACTGATAATTTATTTATACTCCAATAATTAATAAAAAAAAGAATGGCGGTCAGTCATTAAAGTAACTAGAGGACTAAGACAAGGATGCAGTATGTTACCCTTACTGTTTAATTTATATATTGAGGCAGCCCTCCAAAATTGGAAAAACCACAGCCAGGGAATGGGAATCTCCATACGAAATGACGTACGGTTTTCCCTGAACTTTGGATATGACCAAGTTGTCCTAGCTCAAGATTCTTATGATCTAGAATTTATGATAAAGCGTCTATATAGAGAATATGTAAAATGAGGGTTACCAGTTAGCATGACGAAAATAGAATATTTAAATATCAATTTAGATGCATGGTTTGAAGTGTTGACAGATGAGAACGCGAAAATCAAAGAAGTGGAAAAATTTAAATATTTTGATGAAAAAAACAAGAACGTCTTGAAAAAAACCGAAATTAAACACCAAATGAATCAGGGACGTAAAATTGTAGAAGATCTGAACTCCTTATGGCGGAATCGCAACATTTCCAAAAGGAACACAAAAATAGGACAAACCATGATTAAATCAGTTCTTTGTTATGGCTGTGAAGTATGAACAGTTAATACAGACCTGAAGAGAAGATTGTTGGCAGTTGAAATGAATTATTTAAGAAAAAGTGCAAGAACATTAAGGCTGGAAAGGAAGACAAACAAATTTATAAGAAATACCATGAATGCTACAGAAACGGTCATTGACAGAATAGAAAGAAGAGGTTTAAAATGGTTTGGACACTTATTGAGAATGCCTGACGAACGTTGGCACCAAAAACTTCACAGATAGAAGCCCCTTGGAAGAAAAAAAAAGAGGTGGTAGACCTCAACGCCCATGGAAGGAAGGAATTAAAAGAGCAATGGAATCGAGAGGTTACCAGGAGGAACTTGCCTTGGACCGGGAGGATTGGCGGAGGAGAATGGGAATACGACGATAGCCGTCTCCAAAATGTATTGTATTTACAATTTGGATCCTGTAATATATATAGTAATACGAAGGGCCCAGCGTTTGCTGAGCAAATAGCAAAACACAGAGAATGAAATAAACAAGTCAAAATTTTAAGACAAATATTACTATAATATGTAAAGACTTGAAATTTATGGCGTGGGCAGATATAGATTTTGAGCAAGGAAATCATGTGGTAAAACGGGCAAAACTGTACCTAATACAAATCAAATAAATATATAGAATAAAATATGATGAAACTTTTGCTGCTTTGCATAGATTGATAAAAAGTAAATCGATATTAGGAAGTATAAATATACGGTTTTATGAACGGTGAAAAGAATTGTAGTAATATAAGCTTTAGAAACGTAGATTGACTATTGAACTACAAAAATATGGAAATTAGGACATGAAAATGTTAAGAAATACAATTGAGGACACAGTACAGAATGGGTTATGGATCACTCATACATACATAGTAGAAAATAACTAGAAAAATTACGTTAAAAACTTACGAATTTCCTCTGTTTCTTGCATGATTTTCATCAAAATTTCTTAAATCAATATAATCGTCATTAACTAAAAGATAAAATAAGCATGAGTCCTTTCTAAAAGCCAATTTATAAAACTGTACCTGTAACTTTAGGTTTTGTATTATGCATATTTTTGATCCGGAATTAACATTTTTTTATTTCTAAATTGAATCTAAAAAATAGCGACCGTTTTTCTTTTAAAAATATAACAAATATATAATATTTGACAAATAACCTGACGTTTAGTGACATTTACATACTAACTCTTGTACGTTTATGTAATTAAAACGTTATTGGTTAAAATTTGAGCTGCTCGTGTTTCTTTGGGGGTATTTGCAAAAATTGCAAAATCTGTTAGAACTCTTTGAAAACAGTTTTTATCTTACTTGTATATAGTACAAGAAATAGAATATCACGTATTGTATTTTTTCGGGTGCATTTTTAAAGTGAACTTAAGTTTCGATATTCGAACTTATCGGGCTACGTCGGTTCCATCTTTGCTGGCGAGCCACAAATCTTCAAGGGTACTGTGTTTCTCCACAGTCACAGTTCACATCATCTTGGTCTATTTTTCCCCATTTTGCCACGTTTGATTTTACTGTAGCAACCCCCGTTCTTATCCTATTCAAGGTTTTCCACGTTTTAAAGTCTAGGGTTTGGCCGGTCCATTGAACCTGGGGAAGTGGAAAATACTAAGGCGGTTCATTCTGCACTGTTCCAAGGAAGCTTTTTCTAGATTTTAGTCGCTTTCGTGGTGTTCGAGCTTTGTATAGGGCATGCCGATCGTCCGCGATCTGTTTAATTTTCTCTATGTGTTCTGCAGCACCTCTGCGTGTTGAGGGTTCTGCAAAACCCGCTGCTCTATATAGATTTGAAAGTGGCGTTGGTTTCATGCACCCCGTTACTATCCTGCATGTCTCATTTAGCGCAGTATCAACTTGTTTGGTGTGAGCAGATCTGCTCCAAACGGGGCACGCATATTCAGCAGTTGAGAAACACAGTGCCTGTGCCGTTGTTCTTAACACGCCAGGACGTGCGCCCCATTTACTTCCCGTTAGCTTTCTGAGTATGCTGTTCCTAGTTGTTACTTTCCCTCTTGTTTTTATGCAATGTTGTCTGTAGGTGAGGGACCGGTCCAGAGTTACTCCAAGATATATAGGTTGGTCTGTGTGTTCTAATGCATTACCATTCCACACAATTTGGAGTTTTCGCTTGGCTTCCTTTGTGCGAAGGTGGAAAGCGCACACTTGCGTTTTAGAGGGATTGGGTCCCAGAAAATTCTGCAGGTAGTACGCTGTCATTGTTTTTAAGGCAGTTTCGAGTTTCTCCTCCACTTCTTCAAAACTATTTCCTTGAGCACATATTGCAAGATCATCAGCATAGAGGAAGTGCTTGGTTTCGGTCGGAGTAGGTTGGTCGTTTGTGTATATATTGAAGAGCATTGGTGCTAAAACACTTCCCTGTGGGAGGCCGTTTTTTGAACTCTCCACCTACTTACTTTACCCTCCAACATAACGAAAAAACGTATATTTTGCAGTAAGGAATATACGACCTTTCCCAGATGGTGGTCATTGAGAGTGTCGTATAATTTGCGAAGCAATGTTTTGTGCCTTACTGTGTCATAGGCTACTGTCAGATCTACAAAAGCAGCCCCTGTTATAAGTTTTTCTTCAAAGCCCTCTTCAATGTGTTTTGTTAATGCGAGGACTTCACCGGTGCAAGATTTGCCAGGTCTGAATCCTCCTTGTTGTGGGATGAGGTGCTTGTCGACATTTGTTTCTATTCTGGCGAGTATGAAACTCTCGCATAGTTTAAAAAAGTGACACAATAGCGAAATAGGTCTGAAGCTACTGGGGTCTTCTGGATCCTTTCCTGGTTCTAACAAGGCTATTACTTTAGATTTCCTCCATGATTTTGAAATTTTGCAGGTTTTGCAGCACGTGTTATAAAATTGCAAGATCCAGTTTTTTGCTCTTTGGCCTAAATGCTTTATTTGTTCACTGCACATATCATCCACGCCTTCAGCTTTCCCGTTTTTTAACCTGTTCAGACCGTTGTGGAGTTCTTTTAGTGTAAAAGGAGTTCCTAGGTGGTTTGTTTCCGAATCCAATCTTCTCCTAGTGTTTTAGTCCTTATATCGGTTAGTAGTTCTTCCATTCGTAAGGAGTTGAGTAGCGACTTGGTTTGCTGTAACCTTGCAAGATGGTTTATGTTTTTTTTGGATTACCGCTGAGTTTTTTTAAAAGGTCCCATGCTATTTTGCTACTATGTGTCATGTTCATTTTTTCCAGGGTCTCAATCTACTTTTGACTTAGCTGTTGGAGTAGTACTGCTCAGCAGTCAATCGTTTCTTGGCTAAATAGGTCAGTGAAATAGAGGGTTTCATATGTTCTCATTAGTCCTTTTGACTCGCTGGGCATCCCGGGAACATATTGTTGTCTACAGCCTCTAGGGATAGTTTTTCTAGACACATTTTTGAGTACCTCTATGAATTTTTCGTAGTTCTCTACTTTTGGTTCAAGGCGTAGTAGTTCAAAATCTAAATCTCTTTCTGAATGGAATAGCTTGTGGTCTGACAATTGGGAAGTTATTTATACCAATTGGTCTATGCTGAGTTTTTGGTATGGGGCCATATACTACTTTGGTACATCGGTCTTCGAGGTTGTTGCTTGAAAAACAGATATCCGGGTTATATCCTCTTTTCCAAACTTTGCTATGAAAAGATGGTGAAAGTTTAGGATCATGGATTAACGTGAGGCCACTCGTTTCGGCCCATGCTTCTACTGCGTCTCCATTTGCGTCCGAATCTGCATAGCCCTAGAGTAAACTGTGACTGTTAAAGTCTCCCATTACAAGCTGATTGGCTTGTGACTGAAAATTAGTTGGGGGTGAAAATATAAAAGGCTGGTTTGGGAGCTTGTATACCGAGGTTATTGTGCATTTTCCGATCTCAGTGGTTATTATCTTTACACCGTGTACATTATTTGTTGTTTCCACAAATGAGACTATGGTTTGAGTTCTCACAAATACCGCGCTCCCATGCTTATTGTGTGATATCTCCGCAATCAGATCTACTAAAAGTAGAAGAGAAGTTTCATACCAGAGACTTTCGGTCTCGCTGCAGTTATGTCTCTGTGGGTTTCCTGGATGCACAATACCTCACATTTCGTGTTCTTGCAGAATTCTGATAAGATGTCTTGTTTGGCTGTAGTGATGCCCTCGATATTTATGCTCGCTACTGTCAGTTTGGATCTGAGAAGAACCGTTGTGGCTTGATCTTTGCCATCTGATTTGGTTTGTTCCGGTGTTGGAAGGATTAGCCGTCTACTAGTAGACGTTTCCAGGGGACGCCGTCAATAGTGTTTACTTTGCAGTTGATGTGGCACATGAGGCTCCTTCCTTGTCCCCCAGAGTACACAGAGTACACTATGTACATAGCATTTAATTATGTGTACAAAGCTTCTTGTATGATTTCTTCAGAATACGCATTAAACAATAACGGCGATAGTATACAACCTTGCCTGACCCCTTTTATTATCTCCACTTCTTCTGACACTTTTCTTCCAATTTTCACATTTGATCGTTGGCTGTAGTATAAATTTTATATCAATGTTACATCCCTCACATCCAGATTCTTGTTTTTGAGTACTTCTATAAGTCGGTCATGTTTTACTTTATCGAATGCCTTGTAATCTATAAAGCATCAATAAAGATCTCGATTAACATCCAAATATCTTTGGGTCAGCACGTTAAATGAAAATAGTGCCTCTCTTGTACCCATTCCATTCCGAAATCCAAACTGGGAATCACTAATATCCATCTCCAGCTTAGCGTGTATTCTATTATGAATGATTTTTAGCAGAGTTTTTAAGGTATGTGACATTAGACTGACCGTTCGATAATCACTACATTCTTTGGCATGTACTTTCTTTGATAGACAAATAAATGTTGATGTCAGCATTTCACGTGGAATAATTCCTGTGGAATAGATTGTGTTTAGTAGTTGGACTAAAACATCTGTTTTTTTTATTGACCAGTTTTAGCAATTCACTTGATAATTCATCGAAATGCGGCAACGAAAGGCAGCTTTATTATTTTTCATAGACTTTATTGCATGCATATCTTGTGACTTTGTTATTTCGGGTCCCTCGTCTTTACTCTGATTTTCTTCATATATATTTTCCTATCTCTGGTCATGGAATAATTCCTCTATATATTCTTTCCATCTTCCTAATTTTTGTTTCGTCTCCACTAAAATGTTTCCTTGTTTGTCCAATAGTATGCTTGAGGTTTTGTTTTCCTACCCCAGCTAATTCTTTAACTTTCTTATGGAAATTGAAGTTATCACATTTGTTTTGTAAGTCTTCTATTTCTTGGCATTTTCCAGCGAAATAAGTCTCTTTAGCTTCTCTTATTTTCTTTCTTATTTGATTATGCAGCTGTTGATACTGAGTCATGTTGATATTATTTTGCCTTCTTCTGTCCTCTATCATTTCCAAGATTTCTTCTGCCATCCAATCTTCTTTCTTGAATCTGGTTGTTGTGAGTTCTATGCGACTTGGTTCGATAATTGCATTTTTAAAGAATTGCCACTGTTGTTCTACATCACCATCAATTAATTCCGGTGTGGATTCTTTATCACTTTTGTAGCTTTTTTGTATCTTTTTTAAATGAAGTTGAAATTTTGCTACAAGAGGATTGTGATCTAACGCCACATCTGCACCTGGGTACGCTTTCACCAATTGTATTACGTTTCGGTATCTGTGGTTTATAAAAATATAGTCAATTGGGTTTCTAACGATTTTATTGACCTGGTCAGCTGGCGATTTCCAAGTATAAAAGCGTTTGGGCAGTTTGAAGAAAGTATTCATTACCGTAAGATTATATTCTAGACAGAATTCAATAAGGCGTTCTCCACTCTCATAAAGAATACCATATGGACTCGAATACCGAGTCCATATGGTCCTACAGTAGACACACATCTTCCTTCTCCAACTTTGGCGTTAAAATCAGCCATGACTACTGTTATATCTCTAGATGTTGTATTTTGTAGGGTTTTTTGAAGGTCATCGTAAAATTTTTCAATTTCTTCCTCTGTTTTATCGGCGGTTGGCGCATAAATCTGAATAAGGTTATATTTCCCATGTGTTGTCATCATTTGTATCAGCATAATTCTTTCCGATATTGGTATAAAGCCTACAACTGATTTTTTACTGATATCAATTGCTAATCCATACCGATGTTGGC